GCTGTTTCGCCTCGAGCTTGCGGGTTTTCCCAGCGCGGGACCGATGCGCGTCCAGCTGCCTCCGCCGCCTCTGCTGCTGCTCCTGGCCGCAGTCGCGGCCGCCGCCACCACCTTCCGGCCCGACTGGAACCGCCTGCATGGCCTGGCCCGGGCCCGGGTAGAGGTGAGTGCCTCGGCCCCCAGCCCGGGAACCGCCGCTCCGGAGCCCCGCGGCCCGGTAGCTTGGGAACCACCGCCCGCTCTGGTCCCAGGACCCTCCTGACTCCCAAGCCCCCCTCGACTTAGGCACCATCCCTCCCACTCCCCAGCCTCTGGACGCCCTAGCAGCCACCGTGGAAGCCCGAGACACTCGATCTTGCCGCCTAGAAATCCGAATTCTTCCCGAACTCCCCATCCGATTAAACAGCGGGCCCCCAGACACGTTTACCCTGTCCCCTAACTCTTCTCCTTGGCCTATGACTCTCCCAAATCTGCCCTCTGGAGCCCAACTTCCACCCCCACCCCCCATCGCTCCACTTTTTCCTGTAATTCCTCCCCCACCCCAGTTCCTGATGGTCTCTCCCTTTGCCTGAGGGAGGGAGGACTTCCTGGGTGCCTCCCCACACCATGCAGGAGCCAGAGAAGGGGGCTGGGAACTGCATTACCAATACTCACTCTGCAGTAGCCCCCCACCCCCACACTCCTCCTCGAGGAAATTCCCCACCAGAGTCCTTGTCTTGCTGTGTGACTTGGAACATCACTGCCCCTCTCTGGGCCTTAGTTGATAGTATGACAAAAGGAGGGACAAGAGAAGGAGGGAGGACTAGAATGAGTGGTCCTGGGGTCTGGAATCTGCTGGGGGGTGCCCCTCTCCCCCCAGGAAGTTCAGGGAGGGAGCCTCCCATCCTCCATGTTGGGGAAGCAACCAGATGGTCTGTAAGCCTGGGCAGCAGGTGGCAGGTGGCAGGTAGGGCCAGCTCTGCTTGGGGCAGGGTAGGGACCAGATGGCAGGTATCTCTAATGGGGTTGCTCAGGGCAGTTCTGAGCTGTTTCCTTCTGGTCTGCTCCACCTTGAGGCTCTAGGGGCCAAAGGCAAGGCCCAGGTCTCTACTGCCTGAGAGGAGGCGGGTGATCATTTATTTCTCTTGGGCACTGGGAGTGAGTCAACAGCCAGCACGATGTGCAGGCAAGAGTCCCAAGGCCTGTAAGTGCCCTTAGGGTTTCTGGCCTTGCCCTCTTTTCCCTCTGTGTTCCTAGGCCTCAGTTCCCCATCTATACAGAGTTCCCCCTTCTGCCTATAAGAGACGTCCATCTCCACACCTTGGGAACTGCTGCTCTAGGAGTAATCCACAGCCTGAGCCATCTGGGAGATGACAGTGAAGTGGCCTTAGGGGTGTGGTTGTTGCAGGTGTGAGGTTACTCCTGACCTATCCCATTTTTTCCCCTACCAGACCTGTGGGGGATGACAGCTGAATCGCCTGAAGGAGGTGAGTTTGAAGAAAGGGATCCCCAGCTCTGTCTTCCCTGAGCCTCTTGGAGGGGTGTGCAACATGGTCCCGTGATTGAGTTGGGGAGGAACTCTGGGCTGGGGTCAGGAGCTTGCACCTGACTCACGCTGTGTGACTTCACTGGGCTTCAGTTTCCCCATTGGCACCTGGCGTGGGTTGAGGTCTGATGCTCTGGTTCCTCCCTAGGTGAAGGCCTTTGTCACCCAGGACATCCCATTCTAGTATCCTTCTTCCGTTCTGGGGGAGGGGGAATCGGGGGCTGGGAATCTGGGAGAATCTCCTTCCACTTAATTTCATAGATAGGATGACAGATGGTTTTCATATGACAAGTAGAATTGATTGGTAGTGGCTGCCCAGAGAATTCTGAGGCGGTCTCCAAGTGGGGTGGGCAAATGAAATTGACTAATGAGGACTGCCACAGACACAGGAATGGAGAGGGCCCTTTCCTTCATTGGGCCCTAATTTCCTCACGTGTAAATCGAAATCCCTGCCCCACCTCGGCAAACAAGGCTGAGCTGTCCACATCAGCAAGGCCCCCCCGGGAGCCCCTGCCTTGCCCCACCACTACCCACCTTAACTCTCCAGCCACAACCTGGTAATGAAACACCTTCCCGGGGCCGACCCCGAGCTAGTGCTGCTGGGCCACCGCAACGAGGAGCTGGAGGTGAGGCCTTGGGAGGCGGGGCGGGAGGCGGGGCTAAAAGCGCGGCCCACGCGCTGACCCAGTCCCTCCGCTTCAGCGAATCCCGCTCAGCGAGATGACCCGCGAGGAGATCAACGCGCTGCTGCGGGAGCTCGGCTTCTATCGCAAGGCGGCGCCCGACGACCCCGTGCCCCTTGAGTACCTGCGGGCGCCTGCTAGGTCCGCCAAAGGCGCTCCGGACCCTGCTGACCTGTAGGTCGGGGAGCGCGGCACCCCCCTGCCTGAGCCCTGGGGCCAGAATGAAGCGCTCAGCGTCCCGGGAGCACCTCCCTCGCTGAGGGCCGAAGCCCCGACCCCGGAGCCGGCAGGGATGGAGCTGGGGGTTCCTCTCAATGCCCTTCCACGAATCCCCCTTTAGCTCCACTAAATCTCCTAACATCTTAAAAGAGACTCGACTCCTTCCTTTCTGCCTGGGGTAGGGAAGAGGAGCCCCCCCCCCC